GACGTGTGAGACAACGCGGCTGAGGTGTGTGAGACAACGCGACTGAGACGTGTGAGACAACGCGACTGAGGTGTGTGAGACAACGCGGCTGGGACGTGTGAGACAACGCGACTGAGGTGTGTGAGACAACGCGGCTGGGACGTGTGAGACAACGCGACTGAGACGTGTGAGACAACGCGGCTGAGACATGTGAGACAACGCGGCTGAGACGTGTGAGACAACGCGGCTGAGGTGTGTGAGACAACGCGGCTGAGGTGTGTGAGACAACGCGGCTGAGACGTGTGAGACAACGCGACTGAGACGTGTGAGACAACGCGACTGAGACGTGTGAGACAACGCGGCTGAGACATGTGAGACAACGCGACTGAGACAACGCGGCTGAGGTGCGTGAGATGACACGGCTGAGCGTAAAATAGTGTTCAAGAGTGTAACTGTATGGGCTGCTGAATTGTTATGTGAGCGACTGCGGTGTTTGCGTTGAAGCGTTGCATAATGAGTACTGGTCGGTCGGTCCGATGTGTACGTTAGTTTTTGGTCGTGTGGTGTAATACTTGGTGCGTTATTTAATTGCTAGTTGTGACCAAGTAAATGCGTATTGTGATATCTCGTGTACGTCGCCGTTGTATTGCGTCGCATTGCGTTATTATAGCAAATACATACCACGTGCACAAACCAATGCACCATAACAAGTATTCTATCACGTGCGTTTTTGACAAATTCACTAGGCTAAACTTGGGACAGCGCCGGAACCCTACTCCGAACCGTCACGTCCCGCCATCTGTCGGTCAGTCGCGGTAACAACGTGTCAGCGAGGCTGGCTGTTTCGTTATTATTTTTCAGTTACTAAGCCTGTGTGTCTACAGTTATGCAGTGGGACCGGCCGGCTTTACCTCAGCCGTGGGTGCGGGAATGCAACGCTCGCAACAGGTATTTATCGTCGCTACGCTCGACAGGTTTAGCAGACGCGCGGAGTAGCGTGGTTCGCCGTTCTCTTCACCGCGCTCACTCCCGCTTCGTCGCTTATTCCGCCTCAGTTAGCAATCAAGGTAGAATTCAAAATATTTTTATCACCATAAATTGCATAGTGCACAGGTAACATTAAATAAATATAAAACGAAGGAGATTGGTTAGCGTTGGACCACGAGGTCATCAAGACGGCTACACCTATATAAATGAAATAGAATAGTTGGGAGATGTTACTGCGTGAATGATTGTATAAAATACTGATACTAATACAATGAGACCATGCTATATAAATCACGTGAATATATGTCTAGTGATATATATATATATATATATATATATATATATCCTGTGTTTTGTAGGGGATTACACATTATTACATATATGAGGATGGCTATAGCCTGTAGTATATATACGATTTTGTTTAGATAAATGTAATGGAGTAAAATACACATTACAAACGTACTCTATAGACACGACACGATGTGAAGCAGAATAATTATATACACATGTTCACTCTTACGGACTCTTGAATGTCCATTGTGTTACACAAGCACGTGGGAGATACATATGGATGTCAGTGTTGACCACTGAAAACAGACAAGTCAGCTAGGTGTGTTCGATATAGCGTTTAGCCCCGCAGGTAGAAAATCCAGATTGCATCGAAACTCGCATCGAGTTGTACGCGTTTTCCGTAGGTCACCGGCGTTCGTTTCGCGGATTCGCTCTGAATATTCTTACATCCGTGCACTCTGCCATTCAGTACCGGTATTACCTGGAGGACGGCCGGATAAAGCGGCCGCTAGGGAGATTACAAGCAGGGACTTTGTAAAACGAGCATAGATGGGTTCTTAAAACCTAGACGTGATGTTATGCCCAAAGTTATAACAGGTAAGAAGAACTGCGTAACTCGTCATCGTAACTGCGTGGTGAATTAAATCTACGCCGAAATTTCAAATTAACCCGAAAGTACGTTTTTCAGGATTGCACATCTAAAGATTAATATTTACAAGCGCTAATGATACCTAGGTATTATTAGCTCTTGATATTTACGTTACAGGTAAACGTTGAAAAATTCGCTGCATCGCATTTGCTAAATTAGGTTGTTACTAAAGAATCTTTCGTGACAGTTCACGATATGCGACGGCTGGTGCCGGGGGAGTGCGCGCATCGAACGGCACAGCCGACTATTTTCAGCCGCAGCGCGCTACGTCACGCCGCTATTGTGTCTGCGCCGTGCGAAGAACAGGTAGCGCGTATTTGCACCGGTCACTCCAGGTGTATACTACTACTGCTGCTGCTACTACTGCAACACACCGCCGGTGATTTCTATCGGGTTTTCAATACTGCTCGTCGCGCACGATGAGGGGTTCGAGTCTTGCCGTGTTTATTCTGCTGTTCGCCTTCGTGCGATCGCAGACGCTTATGGATGTTATCCAAGGAGACTACGAGCTGAAGAAGGTAAGTGCATGTGCGATGCAGCTCCTGCTGATGCCGATGCGGCTGCTGCCCGCGTAAGCTCATCTGCGCACAGGTAGAAAGGGCGTGACCGCACCCGACTCCCTCTCCCTCTCCCTCTCTCTCACGCTCGCATCTCGCGCCTAAACCGCCTCGTAATTTTTACGTCAACATTTCTCATACGGCAGACGCATACGCGTCATTGCTGCCGTCGTCGTCGGCGACGCAATGCCAGTAGCGACGGATCGATCGGGAAGCGAGTGAGTGAGAGCGAGGGGGAGGCCATCTTTGATTGCCATGTGTAAATACGCTGCATGAGTAATGGCACGCAGGTACGCGTGGTCGTGGGGGCCGGTTTTAGGGAGACTCCCTATACGTTCATCGGTCCCATCGACAAACAATGGGATGCAGACCTCCCCGTGGTGCACTCACCGCCATCATGCCTATTCACGTACGCAGCCCGGAAAAGAGTTTATGCACCGCCATGTGTATATATAGCACCTTTCGCCACCCGATAGTGCTTTACTAAGAGCTGTGACTGGATCGTAGCGAGGGTCAGAACTGACGACGGGCGGGGGAAATGTCGCAGGTAGAAAATGGCCAATTCTCCAAGCAGCTATATTGTATTCAATATCTCCCGTGATGTTAAGTATGTATATTAGTCTAAAAAAGTGAATTTAATGGCATATTGGAATTTGCTAGGCTCACGCAGCGGCAGCATATATTTGTGTTGTTTGTTGAAAATGCGGCGCGGTACCAGTATCGAATTATAATTGCTGTATTTTACCCATGCGCCAGCATGCAGGTTCGACCTGAATGTAATAAATTCAGCCATACAATTAAGTGTGTTTTACTCGTGTGAAAGCACCGAACTCAGTTATAACGGCACACTCCGTAAAACATACCATTCAACCAACACTCAAACAATTTTATATTAACCTTTAATTATAATAATAACAAAATCTTGACATCATTATATTCCTATACTAAATTGCACGATACGTTTATGCTACTGCGAGATGCCTTCTATACACTATGCTGTTGACGAGGTATATCGACTTTATATGCTAATCAATGCAGAGAGCCTCAGTGAGAAATAGTATATTTGCGTTCAACTACTTGCTTACTAAGGGTTTAATCTAATAACACCTCTCCATGCCTGCGTGTTACGTGTCATTATTAGCTTCTGGCCTGCATGCCAGGTAGCGGCAGGTATAGCATATATCTGTACCATTATAAATATATAAGCACATGCTAATGGCAGCGCACCTTGCTGTGTCGTGGGTGATGTCAGAGCAATCTGCTGCTGTACGTGCGTGTATGGGCGTGCACAGGTATAACTGTGCACAGGTGTGCACAGGTAGCTGTGTACAGGTGTATACACGTGTGTCAGCTCGATAACTGTACAGCGATAACGAGAAAACGAGCGAGCCAGAAGGAGAGAGCGAGAGAGTGGGATGCGAGGAAAGACAGACAGGTCGATGGAGAGAGAGAGACAGAGAGCGAGAGAGAGAGAGCGAGAGAGACAGAGAGCCAGAGAGAGAGAGAGAGAGAGAGAGAGAGAGAGAGAGATACAGACACGTAGACAGGCAAAGGAACAGACGATCGAGGAGATACACTGTCTGGGCTGCGAATTGATGTCTGAGCGATGCGGTGTTGCGTGAAGCTTGTCATAATGGAGTACTGTCGTCGGCCGATTGTGATACGTTAGTTGTTTTGGTTCGCTGGTGGGGGTAATAGCTTGGTGCGTTTGATTTATTGCTAGTTGTGGACTCAAGAAAAATTGCGTATGTTGGTGAATCTCGGTGTAGCGTCGCCGCCGTGTATTGCGCTTCGCAGTTTGCGTATGTGGAAGTACATCATTACCATCGTGCACAACCAATAGCATCCATAACAAGTATTTCTATTTGACGCTGCGTTTTTGACAAATTCACATAGGCTCAAACTTGGGAGCAGCCCGGACCCTACTCCGCGAACCGTCACGTCCCGCCATTCTGGTCGTTCAGTCGCGGTAAACACTAGTTGTCAGCGAGGCCTGGCTGTATTCCTTTATATTTTTGCAGTTTACTCGAAGCCTGTGTTCTACAGTTATGCAGTGGTACTCGGCCGCTTTTACCGTCCAGGCCGCTGGGTGGTCGGGAATGCAATCGCTCGCAACCGAATTATCGTCGCTTACTTCTCGACAGTTTGCAACGCGCGTAGTAGGTCGTTGTCCGTTCGTCTGCGACCGTGCTTGCTCAACTGCCCTGCTTCGTCGCTTATTCCGCCTCAGTTGACAATCAAGGTCGAATTCAAATATGTTTATCACCGATAGAATTGCGAGTAGGTGCACGGTAACCATTTAAATAATATAAAACGAAGGAGAATTGGTTAGCGTTTGACCAGGACGAGTCATTCAAGACGTGCTACACCTATATAAATGAAATAGAATATTTGGGCGATGTTACCGCGTGAATGAATTGTATAAAATACGATATCTCATACAGATATGAGACATCATATAAATCACGGGGAGGTGAGATATATGTTCTAGTGTGATTATGATATATATAAGTAGTATATATATAATATATATCTATCCTGTTTGTAGGGGATTACACATGAGGTACATATATGGAGGGATGGCTTATAGTATGCCTGACGTATACTATAACGATTTTTGTTTTAGAAAATGTATATGAGGTAAAATACAGCATTCCAAAACGTACTCTTATAGACACGACACGACCTGAGCATCAATTACATGCAAGAGCGTATTAAGTATATTGCCTTCGTTTATACGTTTCTTGATTACTTGTTGTTTGCATGTCATGACGTATTATAAAACACAACATACATCAGTAAACAAACAAAAAAGACATAACAGATCAATAGAGCAAAACCGTAAAATAATGTGAAGCAATAATTCATATATCACATGTCACTTTACGACTCTTGAATGTCCGATGTGTACACCAAGCACGTGGCGAGATACATATGGTATGTCAGTGTTGACCATCTGTAAACAGTACAAGTCAGCTAGGTGTTCGAATTATATGCGTTAGCCCCGAGGTAGAAAATCCAGATTGCCACGAAACTCGCATCGAGTTGAAGCGCGTTTTCCGGTAGGTCACCTCAAGGTTTTCGCTGATTCGCTCGAATATTCATTACATTCCGTGCACGATCTGCTCATCTCATTGTTACCTGGTATACCTTGATGCTGACTGGCGCGATATAAGTCGGTCCGCTAGGGATATTACTAGCGGGGACTTGTAAAACCTAGACGGCACTGTTATGCCTAAAGTTATATAAGTAAGTGAATGAAGACTGGCGTAACCTCGCATCGTAACTGCGTGTGAATAAATCGTACGCCGCATAATTCAAATTAACTCTCGAAAGTACGTATTTCAGATTGCATCAGCTATAAGATAATATTACGAGCGGCTAACTATACCTAGGTAATTTTTATTTTGTTTTTTTTTTTGTTTTTTCTTTTGTTTTTTTTTTTTTTTTAATTAGCTCTTGATATTTACTGCTACAGTAAATTGCGTTGAAAATTCGCTTGCATCGCCATTGCTAACTTACGTCGTTCTTCACTAAAGAAATCTTCGTGGACGAGTCACGATATATGCGATGCGCTGTGCCCGCGGGGAGTTGCGCTGCATGCGAACGGCACAGCCGACTATTTTCTAGTCCCGCAGCGCCGCTAGACTCACGCCGCTATTGTTCTGGCCGTGTCGAAAGAACAGGTAGCCGCGTTTGCACCGGTCACTCCCAGTGTATACTACTACTGCTGCTGCTACTACTGGCAGACACACGCGCTCCGTGTCGTTCTATCGGTTTTCATATACTTGTGCTCGTCGCGCACGAATGAGGGTTCGACGTCTTTGTGCCGTTGTTTATGTCCTGCTGTTCGCACTTCGTGGCGATCGCAGACGCTTATGGATGTTTATACCAATGGAGACTGACGAGCTGAAGAAGGGTAAGTGCATATGCGATGTCTGCTTCCTGCTGATTGCCGAGCCGCTGCTTGCCGCGCGTAAGCTCATTGTCTGGCACACGTGAAGAAGGCGTGACCTGTACCCGACTCCCTCCCCCTCTCCCTCTTCTCTCACCCGCAATCTCGCGCCTAAACCGCCCTGCGTAAAATTTTTACGTCTAAACATTTCTCATAGCGGCAGACGCTATGTCGTCATTGCTGGCCGTCGTCGTCGTGCGACGCAATGCCAGTTAAGCGACGGATCGATCCGTGAAGCGGAGTGAGTGACGGAGCGAGGGGGAGCCCAGCTTTGTGATTGCCATGGCTGTAATATCCGCGCCATGAGTAATGGCACGCAGGTATGCGGCGGGGGGCCTGTGTCGTGTGGGCCGGTTTTAAGGGAGACTCCTAGTACGATTCATCGTCCACGACAATAACAATTGGGGAGCAGACCCTGCCCCGTGTGGCACTCACCGCCATCATGCCTATTCACGGTAGCGCAGCCCGAAAAGAGTTTATGTCACCGCATGTGGTTATATATATTGGCACCTTTCGCCATCCGATAGTGCTTACTTAATGAGCTGTTGACTGGATCGTATCGAGGTGTCACACTACGGAACGGGCGGGAAATGTCGCAGGTAGATAAATGGCCATAATCTGCCAAGCAGCTATATTGTTATTTCAATATCTCCCGTGATGTAAGTATGTTAGATTCAGTCTAGTAAAAAGTGAATTTTAAGGCAGAATATTGGAATTATGCTAGGCCTCACGCAGAGGCGGGCAGCATATATTTGTGTTGTTGTGTTGATAAATTGCGCGGCGTACCTAGTATCCGAATTATAATGCTGTTATTTTTACCCAGAATAGCGCCACAGTGCGTGTCGACCTGAATGCAATAAATCAGCCATACACTAAGTGTGTTTTACTCGTGTGGAGAAGCACCGAAACTCAGTATAACTTGGACACTCCGAAAACATCACCATTCACCAAACACTCATACAATGTATATTAACCTTATGTATAAAAGTAACAAAATCTTGACATC